GGGTGTGCTTCGGTGTGCCCGTGACCCCCCCCGCCATCCCCTCCTGCCTGGTTGTGCCTGTGCCTGGCGCCCGTGCTCCCACCTGGCCGTCTTGTGCTTCCACGTCCAGCGTCTGCCCTCAGCCTCCTGTGTCCACTCCCCCCGCTCCTTGCTGCGTGTCTGATGGTCCAATGGGTCTGACAGCCTTTCCCCAGAGCTCCCATGAACTGCCCTTCCCACCTCTGCCCCCCCCGCCATCCCCTCCTGCCTGGTTGTGCCTGTGCCTGGCGCCCGTGCTCCCACCTGGCCGTCTTGTGCTTCCACGTCCAGCGTCTGCCCTCAGCCTCCTGTGTCCACTCCCCCCGCTCCTTGCTGCGTGTCTGATGGTCCAATGGGTCTGACAGCCTTTCCCCAGAGCTCCCATGAACTGCCCTTCCCACCTCTGCTACACATGTAACCCCCCGATGCAAAATTTGGCATAGGATTTCCCCTGCTGCAGCTCTGTCCTCAGTAGGCTTCAGAGTCAATATAGGTGGAAACGTTTCAGGCAAATCTGAGCAAGCCTCAGAACCAGGGGCATTTAACTCTGTTGCAGACAGACAGGTCACCATATAACATCACCCCAAGGATGCTGAGACCAAATAACTCGGCTCAGAGGTGGCACGGGTCTGAAAAGCACTTGGTCCCTCCCCACTGTGAGAGCGTGGATGCTCATCCAGGTTTGGAGAAAGGGCTTCCACTGTGAACCTCTCACAAGGGCAGAACCTGATAGGTGTGTCTGGCATGTGCTGGCTGCCTGACTTCACCTGCTTAATTATAAATGCCTGTGTGCCTATTAGGGCAAACGAGCTCATCAGAGGTCAGTTTACACAAGCTCTCCCACAGTGCTTGAGAAGGTGCAACCTGATCGTGTTATTTTAGAGGCTGACCTCAGGGCGCTTACTGTACTGGTGCAGCCATGATGTGCGAATCCCTGTCCCCACCAGTCATCCTGCATCCACGAGAAATTACTTTTGAGACTGTTACCCCTGCAGAGCCTTGCAGACACCTCCACCCATGCAAGCAGTGGTGGGAGATGATGGGTGTGTTGGGTACGCAGCTCCCCAGCCCTGTGCCTGACCGCTGTCTCCAGCCTCACGTGAGCTTGCAAGCCATACCATCTGATTTGGGGGTTTGGCACCTCTGGGGGGGCCGTGTGTGGCTGCTGGGGGTGTCCCCCCAAGTGTGGTTGTTGCTGTGAGTGTGGCTTTGCTTCGGTGGTGGTGGCTTTTCTGTGCCAGCTTGGTGAGGTGGCTGGGGGTCCACACGGGGGCTGCAGCATCCAGCTGTCGGTGGCACTGGTTGGAGCTGGGACTTGTCCAGGAGATCAGCATCAGGAAACGACAAGTTGCTTCCTACACTGCTCTCCACCCTGATGCCAACTGAGCAACTGCCTTGCATGAGCGGAGATCTGCAGGATGGGGATGTGACAGTGGCTCCACACGTGGGAATGGATGGTGAAACCCCCCTCGGCAAGGCAGCACTGCCTGTTTGAGAAGACCCACATTTCTTCCCCTGAAATTATCTCCTGTCTCCGCTCAGTGTGCTCGGCAGCCTGCTGACACCTCAGCCTTACCCAGTCCAGCATGGGACAGCGAACTGTAAAAATGCAGGGTGTTGAAATACACACACAAAAATTGTGCAAAACTTCAGAAAGCTGCATCCTGTGGCAGCTGGTCTGGGTGTGTGGTCCAGCACCCTTCCTACTCCTGCCCTCTCCCCCTTTCTGAGGGCCCCCATTGCTGTATCTGACCCCATGGGTGTCTGCTTTTGGCATGCCTTGGAACAGAGCCATCCCAGAATGCCCGCTTGCCTTCACATCCCACGGGAGCCCGGGCTCGTGGGTGTCAGTGAGGCAGAGCTGGGGACCAGCATCCCAGCAGGCTTCTGATTTTGTGCTGATTTACAACATGCTTGCCACAGTTTCTTGTTGTAGAAAATATCTAGAGGTACATCGGTCTCCCAGGGACCTTAAATGCCTGAAGATTAAACCTCCCTGGATGAAAGCTGACCTCTGGCAGGGCTTTGGCTAGCTGGTGGCCGCTCTTGAGTCTGGGGCAAAATGCACCCTCGAAGTTTCCATCTTGTAACACTCATTCAGTGCTGCTAGGTTACTTTCCCTGAAAATTTTCTATTTTGTCAGGCTTTTATTGGGATAAGGAAGGAAAAATTCAAACTTTGGTTCCCAAATTAGGCTTCTAAATACAAATGGCTTGAATTTCAGAGTTGTGCAAATGAATGCCCAGGATTTAATCTCTTTAAACAAGTCCATCTCTCATCTTGGTCTTCTGTCATTTACCTCTCAGTCTCATTTCTATAGGTCTAGCTTTGATATTTCCTTAGTCTGAGTTATCACCCAAGAAGCTTAGTGAACTGATTCTCTTGTAAGTGGGAAAAATAGAGCTAAAGATGTTACCTTGTTGCCATTGTGAGGAAAATACGCTGCTTTGCAGATTGTAATGCATTGCTGTGCTCCACGGAGGCCGGTAGCAAACACCAGCTCAGCTGTCCTGCAAAATGGGGTCTGCATGCTCCCCCCGCTCCTGCCACCCCTCTTGTCTTGGTGCAATCTCTGACCACTCTGTACAGCACCAATTATTGCTGAACTTACCCTCGAAGGAATTTCTGTACGTGGAGAAAAATAGTCTGCTGGGTATCCTCTTAAGTATCTGTTAAAATTTCTATTGGATTGCAAAAAGTCCCCCTTTGCAGCAAGGCAGCAGCCTCTGGGGACCATGTGAACCCTGATGACAGCACCCTCTTGTTCTCTGAAACTCTTCCAGAGGACTGGGAAACACTTTGTGCTCCCAACAAATCTGATAACCTTGCTCTTCCACCCTTCTTCTTCTTTGCTCCGATGAAGTTTTGCCCCTCTCACCAGGACCCCCAGCTCCCGTGGTGGGGGCCCGACCCTGCTCACTGGCTGTGCCACCTCAGGAGCTTGTGGAGCCCCAGGAGCTGTGGCATCAGCACCAGTTGCTGCAGGGGTTAAAGTCATTCTCAGCACATCATTTTTCTCCTGCCCAGGTGGCTGGTTTTCAGGTAAATGTGTAAAACTCCTCCAATAGCAACTTTGCTCAGCGCTCCTGGCTGAGGGGGCTGGGTACGTGGAGCAGATGAGCAGCACCTGCGAGAAATACACCAGCATCGGCAATCCCGAAAAGCTCTTCTCCCGTGCAAAGCTGCTGGTGTGGAGCTGTGGTTGAGAGGGCTTGTGCAGGGCGTGTGTGGGCACCCATGCTGGTTCCTGGGGGAGAAGCCTTTGCTTTGAGATGGGGCACGGGTGGGCACGGGGTCTGGCGGGG